TTTATTTATTTATTTATTTATTTTTGGTCTTCAATACAAATATCCCCTTTGCCCATGTTTTGGACAACAGTAAATCATGGATCTTGCACCAATACTTAACAGATCTCCTTTCTTCTTGGAGTAACTCTCACTTGCTAGTCAGGTACTCTACCATTTTAGTCATTCCTAGGAGCACATAACTCTTACTGAACTAAAGAAAACATAGTTTTAAGAATACACAGTTTTAGAAGATCCTAAGTTAGAGGTTTATATTTCATCTTAGAGACTATCGTTTTAAGCTCAGGCTACAATCCTACCCCAATTATTATACTAGAATCATCAATTGAATCAGTATTAAAGCCAACACTAAACCCTCAGAACTTTTGAACCCTGAAACCAGTTGGTGGTTTTCTTGAAAAATTAAGAGAAAGAATGATGGAGATGCTCACTTACTGTCCCCTCATCACCACCTATTTTAATTTTAAACCAAAAACTGTACTGCCTAAAATATGGCTGCATGAAAATGTTTGTGTTAGTACTATTACTGCCACCACTTAAAAATTACTTTTCAAATTATTTGTAGTTGGCAAAAAGTGTCAATATAAAACAATGTGATGCTTTTAAAAATGTATACATTTGGATGTTAAATCAAGCTCATTAATATGTGCATTACCTCACACAGTGTCATTGTGTTGAGAAAAACTTAAGCTCTTCTCTTCTTACATTGTTATTAATATAGCCACCATGGTATATAATGGGTCTCTTGAACTTCTTTCTCCTATCTAATTTAAATTTGTATCAGTTTGACATTTCCCCAAGCCCCAGTTCAGCTTCATCCCAGCTACTGGTAACTACCATTCTACTCTCTGCTTCTCCGAGTTCAGTGTTTTTATATTTAACATGTATGAGTGAGATCATGGATGTTTGCCTTTCTGTGCCTAGCTTATTTCTCTTAATGTCCTCCAAGTTCATTCACATTATTGCAAATGATAGGATTTCCTTCCATTTTTTAGGCTGAATAGTAGTAGTATTCCATTGTGTATATACCATATTTTCTTTATCCATTCATCCACTTAAAAGTTGATTCTTTCTCTCTTCTCCTCCTACTCCTCTCTCCCACTTTCTCTCCCTGGCTCTTTCCTTCCCTCCCTCCCTCCCTCTCTCTCTAATACTGGAGGGTTGTCTTGCTAGGCAGGAGCTCTAACACTTGAGCCATTCCAGCAGCCCTTTTTGTGTTGGTTGTTTTTGAAATAAGGTCTCGCATTATGCCTTGGCCAGCCTTGATCACAGTTTCCTCTTTTTGCTTCCCCATTTAACTGGGATGACAGGTGCATGCCATCATACCCAGCCATTGGTTGAGATGGGGTCTTTAAACTTTCCCTGGGCTGACCTCGAACCACAATTTTCACAAGTAGCTAGGATTACAGGCTTCAATCACCACTCCCTGGCTACATCTTTTCATTAGTAGTTACTGAGTTAACTTTATTTTTTAGTTAAATAAATGATTTTTCTATCTCTTTCAGAAACTACATCTGACCAAAGTGACATTGAAGGTAGGATCAGAGCTCTGAAAGATGAGCTGCGGAAAAGAAAATCAGTTGTGGACCAATTGAAGAAGGAACAGAAAAAAAGGCAAAAAGAAAGACTGAAAGCACAAGAAGCCAGTTTGATCAAACAGTTAGAGGTTAGACATACAGAAGTTAATGAATATGTGAAGCCCAGAATGTCTTTTGTTTTGTTTTGTTTAATGGTGCTCTAGATTGAATCCAGGGCCTTGTACATGCTAGACCAACACTCTACAATTGAGCAACATCCCTCAAACTTCCCCTCCCCCCAATGTTTTTAATTATGATAATAAAATAATAGATTAAGACTTTTTAGACTGGGACCATGGCTCAAGTGAGCACTTGCCTTGCCAGTGGGAGGTCCCTTAGTTCAATCCCCACTACCAAAAAAAAAAAACAACAACAATGATTTTTCAGTTAGTGGTGGTACCACATTTTATCCTCTTTTAGAAAAACAATCTGAGGGTACAAACTGTTGCATAAAACATTAAACTCAATATTAAATACTGAGGATAAAATACTCGAGTTTTTCCTGAATATGAGAGAACCACTAGATAGATAAATAATTTGAGTATTAGAATTGTTAGTGGTTTGTTTTTAAAGCAGGGTTGTGTTTCATGCCACATGCTACACAACTTACTTGTCCAGCTTTTTGACTAATTTAGGATGCCTCCTAAATGACAACTTTTTTTTTT